GATATCTAACTGCTTGTCCACTTCTGCAACTTCAGACTTCCGTTTTTTCCTCTGGGGCCCATCCTGGAAAATCAAAAAAGAGAAAAAATGAAATAGCTTAGTCTGACCAACTAATCTCAGTGTTAAAGCAGAGAGGAATAAAACTTCACTAAGTTTGAGACCCTGTCAGCCAGCACAAACTCTGCTAAGACAGAAAATAAAGACACTGAAGTGCACAGAAACCTAGAGACTCATCTTGTACCTCCACGTACAAGGTAATGAAGTTGCTGTGAGTCACCTGGAAACATTTGGTGGAGGCCGTTTTGCTAGCCTAGTGACATGAGAGAAAAAAAAGACACATTTGAGTTTTTCAGAGTTTGTGTCCCAGAGGCAGAGGTAAAGATTAACAGAGTACTTCATCCACAAAATGCAAATGCTTGATCAAGAATGATCAGTTTATTTTTTCCCAAAAGCTATTCAGAAGAGTCTTGCAAATATTAAGTATTCACAATGCCTCTTAAAAGGAAAGTGCTACCCAACTCTGCAGAGAGAAGCAATCAGGACTTGAAGCTAAGTGCTATGCCCAAGTCCTGTCGTCAGTACCAGATGTCCTCCTATGATCAGGTAATTCTTACATCTTCACTCTCCTGCTTTGCAAGTGCTACCAACCACTCCAAGGAAGAATTTCACTTCATCTCTCAAACAAAAACAAGCAAATGCAGCACATCACTGGGAAGTGGAGAAGGAATAAAACTGGCTCCTGAGAATGTGAAACTAAAATAACATGGGCATAAGAAGCCATTACACTTAGTCTCACTGGGTTAATCCCACATAACTCATCACACACACACAAAAGAAAAAATTGTTCAAGGACTTCAGAGGAAAAAAATTATCCCTAATGCTACTGATTATTTTTTAACTGGACTTTGGTATGTCTCCTTACATTTGTTACTTCACAGCAAAGCATTCTAATTAAAAAAAAAAAAAAAAAAACACAAAATAATGCTTCCTCTACACAACAGATACATTTGCACTGATGAGGAACCAGAAGCCAAAGGAGACTCCGATAAAATGTAAGCAACCAGCTCTGTGCAAGCTCCATGTGGTGTAGCTAATCTGTCATACAACAGACATCACACAATGAACATAAATAATTTTTACTCAGGTCCAGAGATACGATGACAATCCAGATCAGGGAGTTTTTACCATAACTAAGATTCAGCAGTTTAACAGCGCAGAATAAATACTCTCGTTCTTTGAAGCGGAACTTTCTTTTCCTCTGTATTAAATACAGACACCTTCTGCAAGGAAAAGTGTTTTGGTTTAGGCCAATAAATATCAAAATGCTATATAGATACTTTTACATCGGAAGCAGGCTCTTGAGAAAAGAGATTACATTGGGTTTTTTGCAGGCATTTGTTTAGGCTTCACCTTTCCTGGGAAAGAAGTGTTCATAAAATATTATGAAAACATACATACTGAGAAACCATCACAGTCGCAAAGCACAACGAAGTAAATCAACCAGGTTTTAAGACAATACATGAAAAAAGACTCTAGTTAAATTTCTGGCTGCAATGCCAACTACACCATCTTGAAACTGTTGTCTGACATGGATCTCCACTGGCTATGTGTCTTTGCAAATACAGTTTATGTATTTTCTGGTGCTTTTCAATCTCTTTATGTAGTTTTACTAATTATCCCACATACCCCCACTGCAAAGCAAAACCACAATTAAGAACAGATTTTATACTCTTCCCTTGCAAAAACCTGTTACCTAAAATTTGTTTACCCTTCAGTTCTGTTTGTTATGGCCAATTTCCCTTGGAACAACCCAAAGGTACAACAAAATTCCCACTAAAGTCCACAGTTATTTCCAGTGTCAAGAAGAAAGCTAGAGGCAGTGAAGGTTTTTACAAGTATTTTTTCACATTTATTTCTTTACTGACCATCCCTTTATCAGCATTATTAGCAGGGCATTTTGTCAGAAACTTCTGCATGAAATAAATGCCAGTGGAAAATTCAGACACCTTTTAATGTTGGGGATGATTTGAAAACACACTCAAGAGAACTAAAAAAAAAAAAAAAAATCAAACCTCTCTACCCTGCATTAGATGAGTACACAGACGAACTGCCAACTGCAGTAGAAATCCACATGGGATTCACTTGTGGATCAGGGTCTTAAATATAAGAGCACCCTGCCTTCATCAATAGGATGGGAGACCTGAACTATACCAAGTATCACTTTGCTTTTGATTTTATTTTTTTCAGATTTATGGGGATTCAAGCTTATTTAGAAATCCTTCAACTTTGCCTGAAAAAGCACAGTGTTTTAATTAGTAGAGATGGTTAAAGAAGTTATTTGAAAAAGGACTGTGCACATATTTTTCCGTGATGTTCTTAATTGAGCAGGTCAGCCACTGGGATTTAAAAAAAAAAAAAAAAAAAAAAAAAACAGAAACCCTATCTCTGCTGCTCACATGTGAAGTAAAGCACTTAAAACACCGAAGTGGGGGGCAGCCTAAAGAGTCTCGAGAGTTAAAGATGGCAAAGTAGTTGCAGCTTATTACGAAGAAAGTGAAAGAAGGTATTTTTAAAGTTGGTGGTCCACATACTCTTGCACAAGGCACCACTTCGTGGAGCAGGAGATGGTGAACACCGCAAGCAGGAATGTGAAGACCTGACACTACAAAAGCACGTGTGCAGGGAACATCCCAGTAAGCCACCACTGCATTAGCAATTCCAGGGCCTGCAGTTCAAAATTTAATTTCCAATATTCCCCGTAACACGTGGCCTTCATCAACAAGGCAACAATCCAAAACATACTTAGTTTAGGCGTAACTCGGCCAAACACCATTTATAGATATCTACTGGCAGTTTTACTCCCAGATACTAGTACTACTGAGAGATGTCAACCCTCCAGGAAAAAAAAAAAAAAAAGAGACTAAATAATATCAGAAAAACCACATTCAATAAAATATATTTGGCAGAACCATCACAGCTTTAGTTCTTCAGTCTAAGGACAAACCAATGAATTATAAAAGTTTATGGCATAATTATTCCAAGAAATGGTATGTTTTCCGGCTCCACTTGAAAACGTACCAACTCTCAAGCAGCAGGCAGCATTCAAACTACTGGAATAATTTGAAAGCACCGAGAAGTAGACAAATGCTGTCTGATTAAGTCCACTTTCATACAACGCTAAACCAGGTTAAATTGGAGCATATGTGGGCTGTAGGGGTGGGTCTCTAGTAGAGGGTTAGTTTTTAAAAGCCACTCAGAAATCACCTGTGCTTGACTTGCTGCACTACAGCAGTGCACCGTTATCTTAAGTTTTATTTCACATAGGATAGATGAACCTCATTTTCACACGCCAGTTTCAGTTTATTTAAGAATGAAGAACCACCTACACTGCCCTGCAATTAATGCATGTGTCCTTTTTTTTTTTTTTTAAAGTTATGTGACAAATCAACAGGTTAAGGCCAATCTAAAACTAACAGTTCCTGTCACATTCTTCAAATATTCTAGGAGTTTTCAAAGTTTAAAGACTAAGCTGCTCAAATGAGAAAAATGAGACAGTTTAAATTTGCAATCTGTATGTTAAGCATTCGGAAATACCTCTTAAGAGTATTTCAAATACACTAAATTGTTGATATACTAAAGCAGGTTTTAAAAAGCCCTCCCTACTTCTTATGAAAAAGGAGATGAGTTTCACATACTTCATCCAAGGGATACAATTTTTCTCAGGAAAGGGTATGTTCTAGCTAAAGAAAATAGGATTACTTCAACATAAAGAGGATGAAAAAGTATCTTACTGTAAATACTCCAGATATTTTCAGGTTGGGTGTTCACATGATGTGAACAGTTAAGTAAAACAAATTCAAGGTGGAGAATATCCCAGCCCTCTGATGCGTGCTCTGAATAAAGCTACTGAATACGTTCTCGCAGGATTCCTGAGCTTGGGAAGACACGTCTCGGACAGCACAGTAGGTTGGATGGAAATACTGCCAAGGGTAAGGAAGTGTGGAGAGATACTGCCTTTAGTGGAATGTGAACTGTACGTAAGCTATGTGGACACACAGCAGACGACCTGCTCTGTCACACCACCTTTTTGATTAAGGTGAGCTGTACCGTGAAGTAACATACCTTGCTCCTTCAAGGAAGGCTTCTTCCACGCAGGTTATACGGAAGACAAATGATTTTACACAGTCAGTGCTTTTGCTGATAGACCCGTTTTCTTGTTTAAAAAGAAATAATAAAACTTCCAGTGCTGCTTCCCCCACCAACACGTGAAATTTGCCTCGTTAAGAGCAATCCTGCGACGCTCCTCTAAGTGGAGCGGATTCCCCTCACGCCCTGCCACCCCGGGGGCTGTCACGCGTGGCCATGCCCCAAGCACTGAGGCAGTATGGGAGGGGGGGGGGGGGAAGGTCCGTGACTGAACCCCGCGGAACTCCGCTCCTCCCCACGGGCCCCTTACCCCGCTCCCGGCGCCAGGCCTCCCGCATCTCCGCTCCCCGGCCTGCTCGGCCACGCCGACCCCCGCCACATGGCGCCGGGAGGGCGGAGTGAAGCCGAGCGGGCCGCGGCCACGCGTCGAGGCTGCTCGAGGCGCCGCCGTCCACCACTCCCCCCCTTCCTTTTCGCCAGCGCTCCCCCCCCCCCCAACTCCCTTTTCCCTCACACACCGCCCGTACCTTGCTGGGGGGCGGGCGTCCCCCCGGCGGGGCCCAGGCCAGGCAAGTACAGGCAGCGCTGAGGTGGGCGGAGGGCACGTACTCGTGCTGCAAGCGGCTGCTCGCCGTCTCCCACACCCGCAGGCGCCCATCCGGACCGGAGATGGCGAAGAACCGGCGGTCGCGGGGGGAGAAGGCGCAGAGGGCCGCCGCTGCCGCCTCCCCGCCGCACGCTGCCGCCGCCATGGCGCTCAGGCTCGACCCGGCCCCTCCGCGCCGGCGCATGCACCGCGCCGCGTGCTCGCCCCGCGCGCCTGCGCGGGTCGCGTCAGCGGGTCGCGCCGGCGCAGGCGCTCTCCCGCTGCCCTTCCTGCCCGCGGATGAGGGCCTGGCGAGGGCTGCGGAGGGCCGCCGCCGCCGGCTTCTGCTCCGGGCACGGCGCGGCCGGCGGCGGGAGGCCTCGGAGGCGGGCGTGGGAGACGTCGCTGTCGCCGCTGGAGCGGGTGAGGCGGCTGCTGCCGCCGGAGGAAGCGGCGGCGCTGGGGCGGTGCGCGGCGGCCCCTCAGGCTCCCCCGGAGGAGCAGGAGCAGGAGGAGGCAGCCGCCGCCGCCCCTCAGGCGCCTCTCGAGGCGGCGGGAGCGCGCCCCGGCCCTTTCCGCGCCGGGGAGCTGGCGCTGGCGGAGTTGCGGAGGAAGCACAACAGGACGTTGAAGCTGCTGTGCCGGCTGGCGGCGGATTCGGCGCTGGCCAGCCCCGGCGGCCCCGTGCCCCACCGCGACATCATCGGGCGGCTGCCCGGACAGGTGCTGCGCACGTCGGGCGGGACGCGGGTGCTGCTGAGGCGGCCCTCGCTGGAGGAGTACGTGCTGCTGATGCCCCGGGGACCCACCATCGCCTACCCCAAGGTAACGCTTGCTTACCGGGCTGGCCAGTGGCTGGGAGGTCGCCGGCTGAATCTCACCCCGGACTAGTAACGTGCCATGGTTTTTCTCCTCCGCAGGACATAAGCGCGATTTTAATGATGCTGGATATCCACCCGGGAGACACCGTTTTGGAAACTGGCAGCGGGTCTGGTGCTATGAGCTTGTTTCTGTCAAGGGCAGGTGAGAGCCTGGTTTTCAAAAATACGGAAGTAGGGCAGTTCCCATATCACGTGTTGTCTTTCTTTTGACCGAATATTTATGGTCAATTCCTAAATGTTTTGCTGCAGTTTACGCATTCATATATGGTTTGTTGACTTAAAGGAAGATTACATCTGTGCCAGAGCCCACGTAGGAGCTGCAAGCTCTTTTTACTGTGTTTTGGAAGCTGTAGTACAAAGGGTTACCAAAGGCCCTGCAGAAAGCCGAGCTTCAGACATCATTATTGTTGGCTTTGGCTTAACCATACTGTACTCTTTCTCCAATCTCTTGCCTTTCTCCGTTTCCTTTTCTTCATCTTAATGGACCATGTGAACAATCAGCTTGATGGGTACTACCAAAAATGCTTATTTGGAGGCTCGCTGTTATTTTTTCATGTTATGGCTGGCTTGGTTTGATCTAGGTCTTAGTGCTCTAAAAGGTAGAGAGCTTTTGCGCTCAGAGTAATTTGATTTTTGGGCTCCTGACAGAACAATTTCCTTAAGGAAAGAAAAACAAAAAACAAAACAAAAACCAACCCCACAGTTGTTTGCTTTTGCACACACCTGCAAAATAAAGCACCATTTGGATTTGGTTTTCAAATTGTTGGAGGTTTTCTAAATGTATTTCTGCTATTGCAGAATACTGTCCTTCTCTGCAATATTGAAGGACTTTCGAGGGTAAAGACAGGAAGCTCATCATGGGTCATCTTGAACTGACAGCAGAAAAGCATGAGTTGCATATCCTGAAGGCTTATGTGCACAGGCAGGGTTAGGGGACACCCCCTCATCAGTAACTGAACACCCGAAGGAGCCAGCAGCAGTCACTGAACTGAAGAAGCACCAGGATAATGATACAAGGCTTTTTAGAAGCATGAGTTTTTCTGAGGAAATTTAGTATTCAGCAGGTATGTTACCAGTGTCATCGATCCCACCCAGCTCTGGGATGCCAGGTCACCCTACTGAGCATAACATCAGGAACTAGGAATGGTGAGACTCAGGGAATGGCACAAACTAGAGTGCTGAGATCCACCGGGAGCTTAAAATTGACGAGGGTATGTCAGCAGCAGCAAAGGGAATCGGGAGGGTCCCCTACTGAAATGAGCAGTTTGTTGTTCTTAGTCCTTTGTTTTAGCTGCAGTAATGTCCACCTGGCATATGAATTCAGTTGAGGATGGTTATTTTAATGAGCATCCATTCTTTGCTGTCCCAAGATGGCTCAGCTGCAGGTGGTATTGATATACATTGGGCCCGGGTTTTGAGGTCAACAGTTGTACCCCTGCTCTCTCTCCCTCTTTCTGCTTCCTACTGCTATTCCCTAGTTCCTTCCAGTCATCTTTCTGCCATAAACTAGGCTTTCTTGTAGTTCCATGATGGGATTTTGAAGATAGTAGGGGATTATCCTTAAAGCAACCGTTGCTGCCTTGAGAGCTAAAAGCCGACAAAGCAGAAGATGAAAATCAGCACTTCTATTTCCAGAGATGCATTTGGAGAAAGTAAGAGTCGTTAGCTTTTCCCATCTTCACCGACATGCAGACCCTAAATCCAAACAAAGAGATTGAATACCTCATGTTGGCTAAGGCAAAAATTAGCTGTTGATGAATGCAACAAATTATTTTCTGCCTTGGGTACTCAGTCCACTGTGGCCGCTTCATACAAACACACCTGGATTACTGATTATTCCTCTCCTTTTTCAGCCTTGTCCGCTAGGCTCCTTCTGATCACTTTAATTTAGCTGTACCTGTGCCAAGTCAGCAAAATCCTTGGCATCACCAGACTGTTAACCCTATCCATGGGAAGAAAGCAGTTCTTATGTGCCAGTTCAGCTCTGTCTTGAGGAGAGGGGAAAAAGCTATGAGATTGTATTGCTATTTTCAATTTTATTGAACTTAAATCAGCATCAAATATGGACAGTGTTAGTCACAGCTTAGTGCAATTTGGTGCTGACCCAGAAATAAATAGGTTTAATTTGCTCTTTCCTAATGGTGGCTAATTTTGCCAGCATTTAATACAGTGCTACCCAACAAGAAAAATAGCTGCTACACAGGTAAATGGAGGAATTTAAATCTAGTGGACACATTACCAAGGTCCTTGGAAGTATTTAATTTCCCAAATTCTCATCAATTTAACAGATTTCATTAATCTTTTTGTGTTACTCTCATTCTATATTTTCTATTTCAATTCCTCTTTTAATCTTTTCCAGAAACTACTGACATGCAACAGGACAAAGTTAAGATTGTGTTAAGAATGTGGCATTTGCCATGACTTGAAGATCTTTGAGAACTGGAAAATATGATGTGTGCAAACTTGACATGCTGCAGCTTCACAGTAATGAAGTTTTGCCTAGTTATTTTAACTAGTTGTCCTTGTTTTTGCATAAGTCAGTTTCAAAATGTAGGAAATTTTTTGAATGAGCAGAGGAAGGAATAAGACTGACCCCAATGTGAACAATTTTATTCTTCCAATAGTTCCAAACTGATAATCTTGAGTGCTGTGATTCTACAGCTGCTTAGGATGATCAAAGGTGACACTGCTGAAGCCCTCCCTCCTTGCTGTACGTGTTGGCTCTGGCCTCTGTCTGATCTGGGGAGAGACAGCTAGGAAACCCATCCCTTCTTTTATTTAGTTTTCTGAATGGTTTCACGGTGGTATCACACAGGTGAGGGAAGGAACCTGAGGACTCCAACCTAAAATGGCTTAAAAAGTCACAGAACCTCACCCACTGAGCTGCTGATTGCTGAAAGCTGTCTTTGGCCACTAAAAAGTAGCAAGCAGAAAGAGAAGCTAATGGTGTGATAGGCTTGAGAAATTAAGAGTAATACAAGGACAGAGTAATACAGTGATGCACATGGATTTCCTCATAACACTTCTTTTATGAAGAACATTTTGTATTGGACTCATATGATAAATTTCAGAACAATAAATTTATACTTGAAACAAGTAATAAACCCCCTTATTACAATTACAGGCAGTAACAGGAAATAACACAAGCCTGTGTAACTCAGAGTACACTTGAAAACTTGTCTAAGGGGCTGAGATTGGTAAGCAGGGGTGGGGGTTTTCTTAGCCTTTCCCCAACCCTATGAAGGGACAGGTGGAGAAAGAACTATGCATGGAAAACAGCAAACCTTTGTAAAAATTAGGGTTGTCAAACAAATTTAAAACCAGCAGTCTCAAATGATGTTAACGGAAGCAGTGACTGCCTGACAGCTTTACAGCATCTGTGAGTAGTGACCAACATTGCTGCTTTCTCAGCTGCTGCCTCCGGTGGCTCTAGCAGGAGAATTGTAGATCGACAGGGCCACAGATGCTCCAGTCTCTTGCTGCAGGAGTTGCTTTGGGAGGACATCTTAGGAACAGTTTGTACTGCTACAACTATGCTTGATTTCATCTGCGGATTGATGCATTTCATTCTGTAAAAGAACTAACCCAGCACTTTATCTGCATATATTTGTTTTAAATGTGAAGAAAAAATAAACTCTGATTATTTCATATATGATTATTATTTAAAGTGAAGTTGAGATCCAAAGATGTACTTCTGTCATTTGCTATGCTACATTTTTTTATGGGAGGCAGAAAAGTAGTAAGTCTAGTATCTTTTGTTTGTTTTCAGTTGGGCCCAAGGGACGTGTTATAAGTTATGAGATCAGGGATGATCATCATAATTTAGCTAAGAAGAATTACAGGCACTGGCGTGCTGCATGGAAAACAGGACATATGGAAGAGTGGCCAGATAATGTGGATTTCATTCTTAAAGACATTAAAACAGCTGCTGCAGATATGAAATCTATAACACTTGATGCAGTAAGTCCAAAAAATCCCCCCATGTGACATTTATCTTTCCTGCATACTTTAAAACCTCTAGTACTCACTCACAATGGGACTCCCATATGTAGTTTAACATGAGCAAAAACAATCAGATCTTCATCAATGAAAGAAACATTGTGATTTCTTTTTTTTTTTGTCAGATTACAAGTTTTTCCAAGGTTTCTGTTACAGTTTCCCAAATGAAAGGGCGATGTGGCAGTAGAACAGAAATACTACATTTAATCGCTGCTGTATTGTAAGCAAAGACAAACTTACTTTCTTGTATTTTGGAGAAATAGATATTTTTTTATCTAAGGCATATATTTCAAACAAATTTAATAAAAATACATAGTTTATTGAAAATATAAATATGTAAATGCTTGCTATCAGCTATATAGAACACCCAATGTAACTAAGGCCTAAGTTAGAGTAAGGAATGCTATTGCTTGCTCTCCTGTCCTGCTTTTTATATGCAGAGTCTGTAAAGGGAGACGTGCTGGGGAAAACAGCTAGATGTTAACCACTCTTCCATGTAAAGCAGATAGACTGCTTACATTAACGCTTTAAACAAACGATAATTGTGTTAAACAGTTTGAGCAAATAAACAAAATATATAGCTTAAAAATATTATTTTAAAAACTTGAAACGTAATAGTCCACAGGAAGGATCAGATATTGCATATCCCCTTGTTTTACAGTTTGAATAGTTTTCTAGCAGAAGATGGATAAATTGCCAAAGACAGAAGTTTTCTAAATCTTGAAACAAACAGCAAGTTAGACATTGAGACTGTAGTGTGATCTTTTAATGATAAAGATGCACCTGAACTTTTTTTTTAGATTTGAAAAATAGCTATCCAAAGGTGTTAGTAAATGTAGTCTTCTAAAAGTCTTTATTCATGTCAGCATTAAGGAATTTAATTAGTAGGGGATTTAACGTTAACACAGGACTACTGCATTGGTGAAATACTACTTGCTGTTTTACCAGAGATTCATTTGGAAGTAGCAAGGACTTTGTTTTGTAAATGTGTAGACCTCAGGTTTCTCTAAGGTTTTCAGAGGCAGTAATAAAATTGGTTTGTGATATATACTGTTGTATATATTAACTTGTTGTTAATTAACATTGTTTTTTCAAGCATTGTTATTATGGGAAAAAACTGAGAGATACATACTAGTATTTACTGGGAAAACATGCGTGTCTTTCTCTTGCAGATAGTTCTGGACATGCTTAACCCTCAGTGTGCTCTGCCTGTTGTACACCCGAGTCTGAAACAGGGTGGCGTGTGCGCTGTGTACTTAGCGAAGTAAGTATTTACTTCTGGCACTTAGGCATCACCTAACATTGTTACAAAACCAAACATCTTTTAAAATATACATCTGGCATTAATTAAATGCTTCATGGAATTATTTATTTCCCCATGTAATTTTTTTTTTTTAGGGAGTAGCACTCGGTATAAATTACACTTGGCCAGATCCTCTAGCCTTTACTTTGGGAATGTTTTCATTATGGTCAGTGGAAGTTTTCACTTAATGACATCCTCAAAATAACTGTACTGTTTTCCAATTCAGTAGTCAGGTTGCTAGTTTCTTTACCCTAAAATTGAAGGATTTGTGTAACCTCAAAGTTAAAGAATGTGACAGTAGAATTGAGACTAGCAGTGTATGATTTGAGTTTCCCAAATACTACTTTATCCTTTACATTTCTTCAAAAAGCATCACACAGGTTATTGACCTCTTAGACAGAATACGGACCTGCAAGCTCCCTTTTTTGTGTGAAAAGATCATAGAAGTAGCTCATAGAAATTGGTTGGTAATACCTGCTAAAATCAAGAATTGCAAATCGAGCCAAATGGTGGAAACTCAAGACAATATTGAAGAACCCGTTCATAAGGAATACGAAGAAATCCACATTCAGGATCAAGTAGTTCTTAAAGAAAGTGAATACAACGGTAAGAACAGTATTGCTGATATCCTGTTACTATGATTTGATAATCCAAGGATATGATAAAGGCAAAGTTTGTAGGGAGAGGCAGTATTTTTTTCTTAGGTCATCTGAGATTGTTGTGAAGAATAGACAAGCTTTTGGACAGCTTAAACAGTGTCAGATTTGAAAAAGCATGTATTAATAGTTATTTAAGCTTAAATATCTTATTAAAAATTTAGACTTCATAGAAAATAAATTGCAGTCTACAAATAAAGAACTGCCCTGCCACTACTGTTTTCAAGTTTTTATTTCTTTAATAAAATTCACTCCTTTATATTCATCCTGTATCTGCCTTAGAGGACTCTGATGGGTTTAAGGATTCCATAGAAAAAGTGTTACTAGTGTGCTCTGTTTTGTAATCATGCTGTGCTGGCAACCCCCCAAAAAATGCCTCATACTAGTATAGATTTGCAAAGTTTGTAGTCGATCAAAGAGGTCTGAGTGTCCTGATAAGTGACAAAGCACTTCAGCAGAAGCAAAAAGAAAATATGTCAGGGAAAAGTAATCCATGGGCATTGGCAACTCTAATGTGCATGTATGTTTTAAACTTGTTGAAAAGAATTAAAAATTTACTTCTCACAGAATCAGTTTCTGAGGATGATGAAATATACTGCTCGGTGCCTTACGTTGCTAGACCATCTTATTCACAGGATGCTCATTCAGGTAAGACTTAGAAAATAGTTTTTGTTGTCTTAAATATTTAGTGGTATTTCATTTTCAAAAATGCTAATTTTTTTGTACTATATCCTGAAATCATTAAACTTAAATAATAAAATAATCATTGTATATTTAAATACTGAAGTAGTAACTTGTTTTTTAATTAGCATTCCTTACCAAGCTGAGGAAGTTTGGACCACTGCTTTCCTGATGCTGCTGAGATGTTAGCTGCTAATTTGAATATTGTATCAGAATTAAATAAAGTGTTACAAAGTAGCTGCTATATTTTTCAAGTTGTGTAACTTTTAAATAATGACTGTTTTGATTTCTACCCATATAAAGTTTGAAATCCCACCTCGTATTTAAAGGGAAAGGTTTTAACAAAGTCATCAGGTATGGTGGTGTGATGCAACACAGATTGTTCCACAGAGCACAGTATCCATTTCTGTCTCATCAGGTGTATTTCATTCTTCATTGCTTGTAAACCAAGCCATGGATTTGTCTTGGTTCAAGGTGCTACCTGGTCTCCTCTTGCTGGACAGGCTCTGACAGTCTACCAGAAATAGGAGAAAAAAAAGAAATTAAAGGATCAAATTCTGCCCTTTAAAATGCAAGTGAAGCAGCTACTGACTTCATTGGCTACCAGCTGGTGGCTATCAGTTTCTTTAAGAGCAATGTTTTTAATGCACAACTGTAAGAGAAACTGAAAGTCACTGAATTTGTTCTCTTGATAAAGCTGTGCTTATTTCAAGAAAAAGACCGGTTGTTGACATGTATAGCTTTGGTTCAATTCCAGCACCCATGATGAAATTAGCCTGGTTATTTGTGACCATTACATAAAGCATTTTCAAATGGTCAAAATAAGTATTTTTTTCTGACCTTTGTCAAATATGAAAAGCAAGATCTCTCAAGTAAAAATAGATTTCAAATTAAGTCTTTAGGGTTTCACATAAGTCTCCACATAAGCATGTCGTGATGTTTAACACATTAAATGATGTGTTTTAGGCACCTGACTTGTTCTGTATCTCAAGGAAGATTCAAATGTCAAATTTTTCAATAGTTTATGCATCCCCTGAGAATAACAGTTGTACGGAAGCTGTCAAAAAGCAGTAACACAATCCTACTATAACAGTGAAAACTTAGATATTTGTGAGAACATATGCAAATAAAAAAATAGAGTTATAAATAACTGTAACTCTGTATTAAATAAGTATACTAAGAACTCTGCAGTGGTTAAGCACATGAAAGTATCTTTGTGGAACTGAGGTCTTAATACAGCTCCCCCTGGGAAGTTTACATCTCAGGTGTGTTCCACTCAGTTATGTTTGCCCCATAACTGCAGTATGTAATGGAGGCTTCTCGTACAAAGGCTCAGGATGCTATTTTGAGTAGATTAATGTGCAAAGACTCAATTATATAAACCACTTTTCACAATAAACTCTTGTATGGTTTTCTACTCATACCTCAATCTTAAAAGGAAATCTTGTATAAACTGTCAACAGCTGAGATACACTTAAAATGTGAATTGTGATTTAATGTCTATCCAAACTGATGACAGCACCTGAGCAGCCTACCCTTTCTAAAACCAGTGCTCTCAACAAGAGCACTTTAGCTCACATAACACACACTCTTAACTCACGTGACGTACACCAGTATTTTTACTGTTTCTTCTAGCCAATCCTAGGTGTTTAAAATGGGTTTCTCAATTTAGTTTATAATGCAAGAACAGTAATAAATGCCTAGATTGGACGGCAACCCAAAATCTAACATAGTAGATGAAGGTAATTTGAAGAGACTCAGAATAAGCACAGTCCTGCCAAGGTAAATGCATTTGTAACAGGGGTGCCTGCTCACACAGAGAGAGGGCATCCTGTCATATCAAGGAGGGGACAGTACTCCCTACAGTAGTCTGAAGGGCAAATATGGCCTCGGTTGCCAAATCTAATTGAAAATCACTTGCACTGTTAAACAATACCTTGAGCATAATAAGAAGGAGAGTCAATGAGCATTTTTTCTGTTGGAAAGGTGTCTTTCATATTCTGGGATGAATGTAATTCCACCATCTCCAAAGTGCCAGTAGATGAGGAGGAAGATGATGACAATCCTAGTCGTACAAATCTTCCTTTCTTACCACAAAGCAAGCAGTCTGTGGGAGTAGCACTAGGTTCTCGGGGCAGCTGCACTTCATCATCTTTATAGTTTCTCACAGCTCCGCTGTGGTGCACAGAACGTTCTCGCTGCCATACGTAATGTGTTGGAGCAATGGCCATCACCTGTCAGAACAGCCCTTAGATCAGAAGCCGTAAGAGTAATGGGAAAACACACAGCTGAAAACAAGGGATCCAATTCATGTATGGCAGAGAACTAATACTACGTAGCTGAAATGGGTATCATCTAGTATCTATCTGCTTCTGTCTCACTAGAAGGTTTGCTACCTTAGGTACAAGTAAGTGAACCAGTTATGAATCAGATGTGGAAATGCAGGAGTTTACAGCCTTGTACGTTCATGTGAATCATCACAAATACCAGCTTATGCTTTGTATGTTGGACTAAAGATGGTGTCTTTTACTAACTACTAAACATCAACTAGGTGGATCTTCTGGTTCACGTCACTGAATTGATGACAGCTGAAAGCTGGCAGGGTATGCTGGGAAAAGCATTCTACACTTGCCTTGTTCCTTGTACTTTGCCCATAAGCACCCAATCCCATCCCCAGAGATGGGATTCTAGAGTAAATAAGGTTTTATTTTGCACCAGCTGTAGTAAACATTATGTTCTTAGAACATGACAGGGCTTTTCCAGACATACATTCCACCTGGAGAGTGAGGAATGTTTTTTTTCCCCTTCCACTATGTTTGAAAAAGGTAGGTTGTAACACTGCGTTAATAGTAGAGAATGTTAAAAGTGTATCTGAGTTTTTTTAAAATGCAATGAAAAACCCTTACCTTAAAAAGTCAATTGGAGTTATATTACTAATTTCAAAGGGATTAAAATTTCACCTGAGGTGCTGGATTTTTATTTGAAGGTTTTACTTGTGGACAAACTTAAAATTTGTAAAGCAAACACACACAGAGAATTATTTCTAAAGTGAATGAAGTGAAACACCATTGTTAAATTTTAAAGAAGAATATTTGCATAAAGCGGGAAGATACTACTCAATAAAACCTTCACCGTTAACCGTAGTACAATGTAAAATATTCTAGTTCACCTTAAAAGCAGTTTCAAAGAATGTATTTCAAATGCAGAAGAAAAAAATTCATGGAGGATAAATGGACCATTTTGTTTTAGCTACATCTTTTCTTTCCCCTGGCTTGTCTACACAGTTTAGGGAAGAAATTATTTGTGTAGAGCTCGATTGTGAACGGGTATTGTAGTTTCAGCATCTACAGTATTAAAACCCTCCCTACCTCTTCACAGCAGCGTCTGCTTACAATAGCCCTGTAGTCAATTCTACTCCATAGTTGATCTCTTAACTTTAAGAAATCGGGGAAGAGCTTTTTCCAGGCTTTTCCCAAAGCCCATGGGAAAATGTCATACTTTGATTCCTCATCATCTTCTTCAACTGTATTTGCGAGATACCTTCAAACATATATATGTTTGTGTTTGTAAATATTATGCAATTTAAATTTTAAATCACGATATCAGTATGATTTCTAACATTAAAATACATAATACTGAAGTAGTTATTTTTCCTAGTATTGTGAGAAAAAACACTAACAAAATACAGACTTCTCTCTAGAGTACAGTTATTTACTTAATCAGAAAGGTCCATATGCATCCTTTGGGTAAATAAAAACTTAACCTAAGCTCTTATAAAATTAATTTACCCTAGAGTGTCCTAAATTAGTAGATATGCAAGAATGAACATATCCTGACAGCTTTCTCCAAGCTGGCAAGATATCCTTGCACTAAAATTAACAGTTTCTGACTGATCTCTAAATAAAGCTTAAGCTATCTTATGAAATCTTAACCTTTACATTGTCTACTTTATGGATTTTAGCTATTCTTGGAAAATTATGGTGCTCACATTAAATTAACAGCAAACGAATGACCTTTTTAATGTCCATATTTCTCCCTTCCTTCACTACGTGCTACTTTTGGCTCTGGATTGCCTCCTCAGACAACAGGAAGATACTTACTTCCTTTGGATCTACTTGATACTAAACTCCTGTAAATCATACCTCAAAACATTATGACTTTTAGTCTCCTCCCCAATTTTGTCACTTGCTCCTAACCCCAGTAGTCCCTGTAGTCCCAGTCTCACCAGACCCTTTGTCCCTTTCTTCTGGTCTGGCTTGTCTCCCCTCAGTGGAGTCAGACAGCTTCCTCGTCCATGCTCTGCAGATGCTACCCAAAATACCATTTACATGAGAAGAAAGAGCCATCTTTCTCCCCACACTAGTGTGCAAATTGGAGCATCTGAGAAGTGCTGTTACGGAAAAAGATGACCTGAGCACCTTAACACTGTGGAAAAAAAAATGCTAAATCACTCTAGGTATAGCCAAATATATGGGTATAGCCATATATATAGGCTTGGTAAAGACAGATTACTGATTGCACCACTATTTCAAAATATAGAAATTTTAGAAATGTTTAAAAAATTTTGCAGAAATTCTCTAGCAACATTTTTACAGTTGACTTAAATCATGTTGACAGAAACTTTAATAAAAAGTTACTCCTGAGGTGTGAGTCATGATGAAACATTTCGGTATGAATGACTTACAGGCTGGCAAAGATATAAAATAGGGTCTTAGGGAGTGTGAGCCACTTATACGTTGGCATGTATTGTCCTGCATATATTTCTTGTAACACTTAAAGAAGTTCACAGATTTAATTTGGGAGAGGCAGAATACCAGCTATGTATCACTTCGCTAATGCAAATGTCCCCTCACTGCTGCTCAAGCCTGTTCTACACAGGCAGTCATCCAAGGAAGAATGTTGAATTTGCACTATTTATATATCGTATGTAGATTATGTTTCTATACTTCATATAGAACTCAACAGCTACATATTAATTAAAGAAGTCTCATTGTATATCATAGTTATCAGTGGCATAAACAAAGGAATAAAATAATGCAAAGTTTATGCTAATAAAACCAGGTACTTTAAAAGTACTTACAGAGCGACAAAGAAGTTGATTCTGGTGTGCTCATTTATTGTGAAGTTAGCCCTCTTGAAATAAACGAAAGTCATTGCCAAGAGATACTGTTTTAAAATGTAAAATCAATATATTAGTATATCATTTCCTAAAATGCTTCACATATTTATCTTGCACCAAGATGTTTTGATCATTTTTATAAATGAGGAAAGCATAAATTGAATTTCTTGAAGCTTCCATGTGAACACATTAGAAAAAAATTATGGCCTGTATTTGCATTATAGTATCAAGTAATTAAGAGCAGATTTTTCACTCAACATATGTTCTATTAACTAAGAAGGAAATACACTTACCTTGTCTGCAATTTTACAGCAACAGTCCATCCAAAGGAAGTCTTGAATTAGATCATCATCTGCAACAAAAGGAAACTGTAGCATTTAAACACCAAAATTGTTTTTGTTAGAAAGTATTTGTAAATAAATAACAGATGGTCCTTTTATTAAACCAAATAAAAAAGAAAGAAGCTAGACCCAGCAGTAGAGAACGGAGAAACTGAGGAAAAAGATTAGGTATGAAAAAACATAAGCGACAAAAGACGACAAACTACCAGAAAGGCAAGGTGGAAAATCTAGTGACAGCATTTCATTCATTCTCAGTAATAGCAAGTGAAGGTGAAGAAATCACCGATATTTTTTCTATTTATGTAACTTCTTCCTCTGTTAAGTGGTTCCATCTGATAGCATACCTTTATTTCTGATGAACTGCAGAGCCGCGGAAAAACGACACGCCGAGACGGGTTCAATGTGGGTGATAGAGCATCGATCTACATGTGTGTTTATTGGTCCAGGGTACATATATTTATACAGACAATGATAATTATTATGCCTACTAGTCACTAGCTGATTGGCTTAAGCTCTAAAGGTCGTATTCGCACGGTCCACCTACTTGCAGTTAGCTAACAGCACAAGCTTCTCACAACACTAAGTTTCTCATGCCACTATTTCTAATTCCTCTTGACTTGTTTTCGATACACAACGGTACCATAACACAATGTTTCTCAGACCACCTTTACCATAACACTAGGTTTCTCAGACCACTATTCCCAATTCCTCTCAACCTGTTTTCAACACACCACGGTACACAAGGCCGAAGCGTCCTTGACATTCCTCATGTATCAGCAGCTGTGAGCAGCTGCAGGCAAACCCTAGTGAGGCCCAGCATCAGCGAGGCAGCATCAGCCCCTAGAACAGGCTCTGATCGTACAATCGCTCGGTGGGCTCATGACCCTTGTCTCTCAGCCATTCTCCGACAATGAACCACAGGCTGGCAAGATCTCTGCACCTTGACTACCTGACAGCTTTTATAAGGCAATACCTACATGATTATTTGTGGTCAGTGCATCACAGTCTGTGAACATGTACTATAATAGGATTATCGCAAACTCTCCAATTCACTTCTGTATTCCAGCCAAATAAAAATCAAGTGTAATCTTTCACTATTAATCTCTTCACCAAATTAATACAAAAATTTACATGAAAGAGACACAAATGCAAAAGAGATGCTACACCTCCTCAGCTTTTCTTCCCATTCCACTTCTCCCCCTAAATGTTTATTTCCACAGTAAGTAACGTGTATATAAGACTGAAAGTCCAGTCTTTTTTAAGCCATGTATAAAACAAGATGTACATTGTTTTACATGTATTTGTTGAAATATAAGAGAAAATAGGAAAGGGAAAAGATCATAAATTAAAGTATCATACCACCTTGGTTTCATTTGTAATTTAAAAAGATACTTGTCATCATTTTGGTAGCCCTTCTTGTATTTTTAACAAGCATTAAATATTTATACACTAAAATAATATCAACAAAATACATTTAGACAAAGACATGGCCATTTATAAAAAGCACTCCCAAAATTACTGAGTTTAAAAAACGTACTTGCTTAATAGTTTTCTACTGTTCAGTCAATACATTGATATCTGTCATTATTAACCTACCAAATAATTTAAAGAAAGCTGTCATTTCCTGACGCTGAATAACTAGACATGGTCCCTTTGGACATTCATATTTATGACTGGGAACCTTTTTTTCACAATTTTCTTCATGGTCTTTAAAAGTAGGCCGCTTTAGTCTAATAAGTTTTTTTTGCTGATGTGATCTGGATGAACTCGATTTTACATGAACAGTGACAGTGGGAGGTGTCTGACACACCAGATTGTGTCTCATTTTGGTAAGTAAAGGTTCCTGTTAAAAAAGAAAAAGAAATTAACTACAAAAAAATAATCAGTTTGAGCAGTAGTTCTCTATATGTCTTTTCTTCAAATGAAATATTTCAGTAGAGCTTGTATGTCAGGGGATACAAAAATTAATTATATCAGTACTAATTATCTAAGTCTTGTGCCCTAAGCTAACTACATAGATTAATTTAGTGCTGATTTGATAAAGCTCTTTTTCAGTGGAAGGAGCCTTCAATCTTTCTTTTTCCATTCAAAATTTTGAAAAATGGAAAAAAAATCCTTTCCAGAAAAAGTTGCTATTTGTCAGATCCTCATAGCTCTACATACTTACTTAGATCTAGCAGAAAATCTCCATTCCTTTCCTCCAATTTGTGATTGTGTGTTTTTAAAAGAATGTTAATAGAATTAATGCAACAGAACCACAATTAAGCCATGTAACATTGAAATTACAGTCTTGAGCTCTTAATTTTTATAACATTTGGTTATAGCCATTGAGAATAAAACTTATCTCTCAGGTAGGACATACCCTGAAGGCATAACCAAGGAAACAAACCTGAGGTGTTTGTAACAGTAAAAATACCAAAGACCAGAAGATACCAAAGGGAGCATGAGGAAAAGTATTTTCAGACAGGAGTAAATCCATTTACTTCTTCAGTAGGTCCCCGCACAGAGCATAGCTGTCTGAGGCCGGCTCACAGTAGCCCACCTGACTCTCCAGATCTTAGCTGCCGCGTAAGCCACAGGAAGCCCCTCGCGTGTGGGTGTGATCACGCCGCTCCTGTTCCGGGGCCGGGACCGGGACCGGGACCGGGACCGGGACCGGGACCGGGACGGCCCCTCAGCCGAGACAGCGCTCCCGCCTCAGCCTCAGCCCGCCCCGCTCCTCTCAGCCGCCTCTCGCGCCATAGCCCCGCCCCGCGCGGCTCGGAGGTGGCACCTCTCGCAGCCAGTCGGAGCGCGCAAGGCAGCCGCCTCAGCCAATCGGCGGAGGGCACGGCTGTTGCTGGGCGGGCGGGCGGGCACCGCCGCTGCCGCTGGCGTCCCTCACCCTGACCCAGCAAAGCGCGGCGCGCTGACTTCACGCGTCCCGAAAGCTCGAAGCTAGCGTCGCAGCTTCGCGCGATGACGCCGTTCTTGTCAGGTGCCCGCAGGCGGCTGGGCCGCCTCACGTCATCACTCTCCCCCGCCAGACGAGGTGAGCCCCGGAACAGGCGCGGCCGGTCGCTCCGGCTGTGTGGGCGCCGGGACACGTCTGTTTTGCGCGGGCAGCACCCCCGCGGCCGCGCTGCTCTCTCCTCTGCCCTAAGCTGTCCCCAAAAGGGACTTCAACCTCTCAGCAGCCCGTCAACATCGTACAAGCTTCCTTAAAACATCTCCCCAGGATGATAAACGTCCCCCCCCTCAGGAGACACGGGACGTGAGGGAGAAGGCAAACCTAACTTTAAAGATCATTAAACATACAGGTGCAACATACCTTGCTGTTACTTTTCCACTGAAGCAATTAACAAGTGTAGTACTATGCAGTTAGTGTAAGGCAGTCCGTTGAAACATAGTAACAAGGATTAAAAACTGCCTTCACTAGTAAGATTCAGCGTGAAATCTTATTGTTGTCTTAAAAGAGCTAAAGATTTATTCCAGGAAGATGGCAAGAAATACATCTGATGTCATTGCTTCCCCCTGTACAGGCAAATTAAATTGTAAATGGTCTCATGGTAATGAAAAGAGAGGCTTTTTTACTCTTTCCTCATCTTTCATTAATAATTCACCCTGAGTTATGGAGCATATTCAGGGAAAGGTCACATCAAGTTTCTGATAGTGCGCCCCAGAGAGAGAAGAAACAAGAAGCAAGTGTGTGAACTAACATCTCTGTATGGAATAGACTGAAATCAGGAAACTTGGCAGCAGGGCAGCGATAATACCAAATACATGAGTAGGGCAAAAGTGTTTCTCTGAGGTTCTCTCTTCATACACCTATGTGTTCAGGTTGAGTTACCCTTCATTAAGTTGTTCTTTATTTTTGCATAATACCTTTCATCTAAGGAGCTCACAGCACTCTTCATTTAATTACCATTCATTTGATAACTGTGGAAAACAAAGGATAGGTTACAGAAACTTCCACATAACCACCTAAAGCATTCAGACTAGGAAACAAGCTTCTCCCATTTCTTTGCCCTGCTGCAAAACATAAAACTGCAGTGATAATTGTGAAGTGTATGCTTGCTTTCTCTCTACACCTTCACATTTGTATTCCTTGGCTTACCAGTAAAAAAGTGGCTTACAATGTAGGTCTTCATTCATACAGAGCTTTCCAGGGTTTGTATGTTTGTTTCCTGTAGCTCTCCCCTTTCTAAAGTATTTTTTGAGCTGGTGGTTCTGCAACAAAATATTGGAAGATTATTTTTTTTCCTTTCATTCTCCAAAATCTGCTACAATCCAGCTATTCAACAGGCATTGTGACTCTCTAACCCCCACTGTACTGTCCCCCTACCTCCCAGGACCCAGGGCTGTGCTCTGATAGAGACTACTTGCGTAAGCTTGGCTTAGACTGAGGAAATTGAAGTTGTGAGAAAAAGCTGTGAGAAAGTCTGCAACTTTACCTTTCTTTCCTTGTAGCACTCCAGCCTGAGGTAGGATTGTTGAGATGGGAGTGACTCAAGGATTCAGCTTGGAAACATCACGGAAGAACATCAACATGGAAAGGTTGATGCCTGAAAACAGTCACAATAAGGAGACAGAGCTTTACCTAACTCTTAATCTTCTGCATGATATAGTGGATTTAACTGGTTCTCAATTTTGCTTAGTATTAACTACAGTTTCTAGAAGATTGTTGAACAATTCATCTCAGAATATCGGGAAGTATGTAGCTTTCCAGGTACGTTGCTGGGCATCAGGGGGCACTGTTTCACTACCAGCAACTTAAACTGAGACAATGCAGCATTTGTCTAGTACGATACACTGGATTTCTTGTTGTACGTAATTCCTAATCCTTCCTCTGGGTGGACATTAACTCAATTTACCTACTCTTCATCTTTCTATGTTATCACAGTTTGAGCTGATTTTATATATGTAGTGAATAAGACGCGGGCTTCAAAGACCTGGGATTCTTACAAAATCTTATTTTTGAGGAAAAAAAAAAAATTTCCATAGATTCAGTGGCAGCTGCAAAGCAGTTTGCTCCCTTTAAATGAAAAAAGAACCTAAAATTATTCAGTTGTTTACAGATAGATTAAGAAGCATCAATGAAGAAAAACACAGGGCTAGTATTTTCATAAATTATATTTAGGATATACATACTTTTTAAATCTTTTAATATTTGTGAGGTAGGAAAATAAATGCCTTTGGCCTCTGATGCCCTTTCCAGTGAACTTTTTTTTTGTTAAGAAAGATAAAGTGCCACAGGAAAAATACCTGGTATTTCTTTTTAAACAAAGTCATGAAGAAACAACATTGGTTCTTTCAAATCCAGATCATTGTTCATAATAAAATACGTATTTTTCAATTATAGACTTTTCCTAATTGTAGAATATGAAGTAGGAAAAAATAAAAGTCTCTTATCCCTGTAGAAACAACTCCTAACCTTGTCAGGGGGAACCCAGCCTCTCAAACATGTTCTAGATGAAATGCACACAGGCCGAGAGCTCAGCTGTTGAAGACTATAACGAAACTGAAGCATTCATCTAAAAAGCAAACTTCGGACATGCGGTTACTCTTTCAGAATAAAGGGTGTAGCAAGTCACACAAGTTTCAGTAAATTAAAAAGGAACAGATAAACCACCGGAACCCACATCTATCATCAGAAACCTGTTTTTTTATGTGGGAAGAGAGAGTAAGGATTTAGATGAGTTGTGTGAAACAAAACATGATGGCATCATGGTGCCTGGGCTAGGACTAAGCATAACAGACTGAATATGCCTTGCCTGTTTGCTACTTGAGGTAGCAAGTAAGGATAGTGGAAAGATGCCTTATACCTAAATCCTTGCTTTGAAAAATGTTACAGCATGATTAGAACAACAAATGATCCAGTGCCACTTAAGTCTATGTCATTGATGGATGGACAATAAAACTGTTTTCAGCTTTGTCTACTTGAAGAGAACTTTTAAGCATACAGCAGGCTTTTCTAGTACTTAAGTCCAAGAACAGCTGTAGTTATTCTCAGTTACTGAGAAATTCAGGAACTAGAAGAAAAAAATAATTTGGATATTACGTAGCTAACAAGAAGTGTACTGAGTAGACTAATACACAAAATGGTAAAAGAATGTCAGGGCTGCCAGCAAACACTGTGCATGTTTAAACATGCTGCTTCTGCATACTTCAAAACAGACAAGAACTCTACAGCTGCAAACTTACATAAAGTACTGCAGACATAAGTTTGAACTTGCTGTTCATTTCTACTCTAAATAGACTGATAGATCCTGTATGAACTTAACTAATTCAAAGCAGACAATGGAAGCCTTTAAGATTTATTTTTAAGGATTGGCAGTTCTGTGCTGGATGTAAATGAAATTAAGTAGTCTTATCTGAAGCGTTCCAATTACTTTGTCAAAATAAATAGATGAGATAGAGTACTTTAGGTCTTCACCATCGTGTCACAAAATGGCAAGTGACGAATGATGTAGCTCTCAACATCAGTAACTCAAAACTGACTGCATACTTTATGCTAAAGGGTACCCCTCTGAGTGTTTTTTTGTACCTTCTGATGTCATGCACCATATACTAACTTTTTCAAGCCACTAGAGATTGTCTTTTGCATTGGCGAATATTTAATAACCATGGGTATTTGTTACCCAGTTGTGCCCATGCTGTTTCTTCACACAGCATTGTGCAAAGAGGACTAATAAGCAGGACTCCTCTCCAGCGCCGTGGCCCCGGAGCCATTTGTTCCCGCTGCTGGGAGCACCAGGCTGCCCGAGACAGCGGGGCCGGAGCAAGGAGCCGGTGCGTGTCAGCCGTGCCTGGGGCGCTGCCCGCCTGCCTACATTCACACTGGAAAATGCCAACCCTTCAGCCCGTGTTCTTCTCCTCTTGTCTCTCAGAAACAACTAGCAAACCCTAGACCTCGAAAATCTTCACGATGACAATGTAGCTGAAGACAATGTAGCTGAACCAATAAAACTCCCAAGAATTTTACTTAAAAAAACATTTTTATAAAATCACATTATCTGAAAATATTCCATTCGCAACTAGTACGTACCACAAATGTGTAGTCTCACTGATGTAACATATATGCCATGAAAGATCTAAGCAATTTACTATGCAGGAAATATATCCTTTTATCTAGTGAGATCAAAAGTAAAATAACTTTGCTGCTTTCAAAATTATGTCCTAATATTTTTCCTGAAGGTGAGTTCAGCATTTTTTAAAACAACAGCCATGTGAGTGAATGAAGAATAGGTGACAGCCTTCAAACTCTTCGCTAGCCGGCTTATGATTCTATAATAGGGGAAAATGTGTAAAACACATAAAATCTTTCTCATCCCATTTTCCAATTCCAAAGTTTACATTTACCTCTCAGTTTATTGGTCACATAATTCAGATCGCAAACTTTCAAACACAGAGTATCTATTTATTCTCTGTTTTTACACTGTTGAACGCAACCAAATCTTTGTCCATGACCACAGCCCCTATAATATGAAACAATAGTAGTAATTAAGATAGGACAATTTCGCTATTGTCAGGAGCCTTATTTTCATGGCATGGCATTCAGAAGACTCGCCCCATGAAAGGCTTAATCAAGAGTAATGTAGCTATAATTTCTGAAGTAAGGGAAAATTATTTTCATATGCAAATAGTTTGGCTCCAGTCCCGTCATACTGCTAAGAAAGGAACAGCATCAAGCTCAGTAGTGGGAAGGCACTAAAAGGACAGCCCTTTGGAGA